ACCCCACACACACACACACACCCTGTCCCGATTTTTCACACTTGCTGTCTGGTCACCTTATGTTCCGCTGAGTGGTTATGCAATCCTGGACAAAGTCTAGCTCTTTGTAAACACGGCAATTTTGGGATCACCTAGTGCAGTGGTTTTCAACCCCTGGGGATACACAGAGGTCTTCCAGGAGGTACATCAACTCATCTAGATATTTGCCTAGTTTTACAACAGGCTACATAAACACTAGCAAACTCAGTACAAACTAAAATTTCAGTAAGTGTGCTGAGACACTTTTGTATTTTTATGTCTGATTTTGTAAGCAAGTAGTTTTAAAGTGAGGTGAAACGCAGAATACGCAAAACAAATCAGACTCCTGAAAGGGATACGGTAGTCTGGAAAGCTGGAGAACCACTGACCTAGCAAGACGTGAAAAGCAAAACACATTTGTAACTTTTTAGTATCAAGTCTTATTGTCGTTTTGAGGAACCTAGTAATCCCTGCCTTTAAAGTCATCAGGCTAAAATATCCATTTCCTAGAGGAGGTTAAAAAAAAATCCTTCTTTTAGATGCATATATTTCTAGTGCTGTGGTGAGCAACCTGCGGCCCGTCAGGGTAATTCGCTGGCGGGCTGCAAGACAGTTTGTTTACATTGACTGCCCGCAGGCACGGCTGCCCGCAGTTTCCACTGGCGGGGAACGGCGAACTGCAGCCACTGGAAGCTGCAGGCAGCCGTGCCTGCAGGTCAATGTAAACAAACTGTCTCGTTGCCCACCAGCGGATTACCCTGACGGGCCGCAGCTTGCCCACCAGTGCTCTAGTGGAATAATTTCTCAAATATAAATTACTACCATGCCTCAATATCTTCAAGTCAAAACATAAATAGAAAAAAAATATGTGATTATAAATATGACAAACCTAGGGAATTCTTCATAATCTGTATGTTAGGTTAATTTGTAAAAGTAAAATATTAAAAAATAATAAATGCTGGAGTTTTGTGTAATATTCAGGTCAGAATAAGAATGAAATTATCTTGGGGATATTAGATTTTTCAAGGATGGAACACCTTCATTTGCAAACCAGCATCTTTTAATATACAAAAAGTACAGTGTGTATATGTATAGATTTATATACAATACATTAACACAAGCAGAAACTCATCATAGTTAAGATTGCAGCAGGACACGTCAGACTCACCCAAAATTTTAGAAACATTGAAATAAGATATGAAGGGAAAAGCCTCTGGTATTCATTGCCACTTTCTCATACCCTTCTACATCATCAATAACTCTTTCACTTCCAGCTCTAGCAGATACTGAAAAGCCATTTGTACCCCAATTTTAGCAAACTTGTGCTCTGCCACAAAACCTTAGTTTGAACCTCATATACTTTTGTATCAAGAAACTGGCACATCTGACTTTCATACAATCTGTATACAAGTAACATCATTCCACCTTACCATCACAGAGGTTGATTTTTGTGTTAAGAGTACAAGTATGACTAAGGGGGTACATATGGCTTATCAGTATCCAACGGAGAAAGAAGTGGATGCCTTATGGAGTGTTAATAATAATAATGCCTATTTCTTATATAGCACTTATCTGTAAAGCTCAAAGCATGTCACCATTTTGAATGTATTTATCCCCACAACACCCTTATGAGGAAGTGTTATCATTCCAGTTTTACAGATGGGGACATCAGACACAGAGGGGCTAAGTGACTTGCCCAAGGTCACAAAGGAGGTCCACGGCAGAGAAGGGAATTGAAGCAGGGTCTCCTACATCCTAAGGTAGTGCCCTATCCACTGGACCATCCTTCCCCTTTACTATAGTTGTGGACAAAAAAAAGTAAAACATTAATCAGCATTAGGGTTGTGCAAATGTATCAGTAATTTAAGAGTTTAAAACATTACAGGAACATTGTAATTACCTTAAAAACAAGCATTGCATACCCAGGAAATTCAGAGTTAAAAAGTTAAACTGAAATATGTATACACACATTGGCTATATATGATGATATAAATAAGCGGAGAGAAGGGAAAAGATTATACTGATAGATCTTTATACAAATAAAAGTTCAAAAGATTTTAGAGAAAAATCTGTATATTACCAAAACTTCAGAGTAAAAATTTCAGACTAACAGTATATTTAAATGCAAAACCTGCCACAGAGTGAAATGTAATTTTGTAGCTTTCCTTGGTAATGCAGAAAACAGCTTGTGATACTTACCACATAAAGGGAAGATGTTTATCAGCTCAAAACTTTAGACCCTCCAAAGTGGCTCAGGAAAGACTGAACCCCTTTTAAAAGCAACTCTATCAGTAGTTTGCCAAAAAAGCCCTCCCATGATGACAATTAAAATATGTATATTTCAAAAGCTTCCAAACCACCAGAAATAATCCCCTCCCCTCTCCTCACACAGTGAAGAAGGTTGGTCTTCAGTGCCAAGTTCACTGCCAGCAGCAGCAGCAGCAGCTGTGAGGGTGAAGCTCAGGGCTTCACCACTCTCCTGGGTTTCTGACTAACCTGATTTCACTTTGAACATCAGTTATTCCTGTAAATTCTGCAGCTGAGGGCTGGGTAGCAGCCTTGGGCAAGGTATTTTTTCTCAGCACCTTTTAGAAAGGATGCTGATGTTTTCTTAAATTAACTATATTAATCCCTTCCCATGCTTCTTATCACAAGTTTTTTTACTGCTGGGATAATGAGGTGACCCTCATTCCCCTTTAGGGTGTAATGCTGCAAAGATGCAGAAACACTGGCTTAATGACGTACCAAGTGAATTTTCTGCCCCAGCTGACTCACTCATTTTTTGGACTGCTCACAAAGGGATAATTAGCTGGAAAGCACTTATATAATCAACAGTACATTCTGCTGGACCACAGAAATTCCTCAGAAACTGATAGCCATGATCTATTGTGTATTCTAGTAATAATCATTTTAAAGAGAAAGTTTCCCACATATAGAGTGAGGAAATGGCCATTTAAAAAGTGGGTAGACAGATAGATAATGCAAAGTACTTTACAGTTGCATCCCATACATGGCATTTTTAAATTGAGTGCTATTGAAAGGTATGGAATTGGCAGCCCTGGGAGACTGAAATCATTTATTCACAAAACAGGTTCACTAAGGGCAGCAGCAGTGTAAGCTACACTGCCCTGCTACAACATACTTCTGGTGCCCCAAACCTAAGCTGGAATTTAGGTGGAGGAGGAGGAGGAGGAGGAGATCTATGATGAAGAGTGTGACACACTAGTTGACAACAGTGGATAACAAAAGCCAGAACTAGACATTTATTTGAAAGTGAATGTGCCCTAAGCTGATAAGTAGGCTTGGAAAGAGGTGATTTTTTAATCAGTAACTATTGTTCAACATTGATTTTATCGCACACACACAAAATATTTCCACTGATAATAATCAAAATGCACAGATAGGCAAAGTAAGAGAAATGCTGCTTGAGAACTTCTTAGAGTTTGATTTAAGGTTATTTACTTGTATATTTTGACATATGGTGTTGAAAAATTGCATTTTAACAGTTATAAAGCTTTAATTTTTTCAACATGTACTGTCATTAAATAATTGTCTGACCCTCCCCCCTAATTTTCTGCAACTGAACATTTAAATCAATACACATTAAAAAAAATGCTTAAAAACCATATACCAGTAAAAGCTATATTAACTGGCACTTTATCAACCAGAAAGCTCTATTAATCGGCATTTCTGAGATCTACTAATACAAATCTTCAGTCTAGTAACAGGGACTAGTATACTACCCAGGAGGTTATGCAATTGCCCATTCTGCACTCTGCTTTTATGCAAAAGAGACAGGAGACAAGTAAGCAAGCTGACATCAGGGATTTATTCAAAAAAGCAGCTTCCAGGGTGTGTCATAGGGTCATTACAGATTCAATCCAACCTCCTACACCTTCTACATCTACAATGATAATTGATGTTGTTGATGATGATCCTGAGGCACCTGAAAGATCCTGAAGTGCCTTCTGAATCACCAAAGAAAGATTAAATTATGTTCTGTAGAGTTTTAGTGTTAAGTGTATTTTTAGTGATATGGGTGTACGCCATGCGCTGCCCATAGTGATATGTAGTGTCATACGATAACCTACTGTATAGAAAACTTTACTGGTATGCACCTAAGTGCTTCAAGAAACCAACCACTCTGCAGTGTAGTACTACTACCGGATTGGTGAGTACCTGTATACAATTTTATACTTTAGTCATTTTATTGTATTCTAATTCTTTGAAAATTGGTATTCCATTGGTAACTATAACTCTTAGTTAACCGGAATTTTTGACTAATTGGCACCCCCCATTCCCCCAACATGCTGGATAACAAAGCTTTTACTGTATTTGTGCAACTGTGAACATTTAAATAAACAAAATAAAAAATACTTAAAAATAAACACTATCAGTCAAAATTATAAAAAAAAAGTGAAAATGAAAATCAAGTTCTGCCAAGCCTACTGCTAAGGCAGTCTGTCATGGGATTGTAGGACTTTCTGGATATTTTTCCTTTTATATTTTAAACAATAAATCATGCTGCCATAACTCAAAATTGTCACTTTGCAGGGGCATGATGCTGGTGAAGAGTTAACCAGCACTTGGATGGAAGGGGACTGAGCTAGAACTGGTAGAAACCCCTTTTCTTCCTGTGAAAAAAAAATTCAAGCCAACTTTTTATTTCAAATCTTTCGTGAGAAATTTTCAAAATGGTTCAGATCAAAATTTTTGTTTTGTTTAGATTCACTTCAGAAATTTTGGTTTGATTTCGTTTTTTATATGGAATTTTAAATGTTTATTTCTCCCCCTCCCGCCATTTCTCCAGCCCTTTTTCTTTTTTGCCACTGAATGAATGAATGTTGTCTACAGGTTTGTTTTGCTTTATTAATTTTTTCCTTTCTTTTTTTCTTTCCCTTTTCCACTAAAACTTAAGGACATTTGGAGATGTTACAGAGGGGGCAGATTTACAGTGTTTTATTTTTCCTTTTGCCACTCTTAACTTTTTCAAAGCTGGGAGAAATTTTGAAAAATTACAGAGTGGGGGGGGGGGAAGAAGAAAAGTGGGGAATACACATAAATTATTCATTCTGTTGCATTTAGTGGCAAAAATGAAAAGGGGAAAACACAAATAACCACCAACTTATTTGAATACAACAAAAAATTCAATTCAAAGTTACATGGAAAGTGTTCTTTTGTTTAGAAACTTCCCATACAGTCATTTAAATTACATTTTCCCCACAAAAAATTTTTTTGATGAAACTATTTTGTGTCAGGAAATTCTTTTGGTCCTTCAGTGTTCACTGAGGTTGGTGTGGGAAAGGTTCTCATTGCTAATCTCCCAACAGAGAGGTAAATCCAGTGCATCTCTCTCAAGGGCTGCTTGGAGGCCTCAGGGAGCAGTGCAGCCTGGAGCAGCCCTGTGTCAACCACTCTTGGGAGCTGCCTCAGAGCACAGGTTGTTCCCTGCTATCACCTCTGAGCTCCTCCTGCAGGAGCTTTCCCCCTGTCATACAAGAAAGGGAGGGAGCAAACCTCTCAACCTGCCAATATGTGGCACAAGCCATCAAAATACATGACAAATGACCAACATATGGAAGCACCTAGGATTTTTTGTCCACTGAGACACAAGTGACAGATTATAATGGCTTTTAGCCATAAAACCTGATTTTAGGGATCTTTTCTCATTAGCTGAATTAAATTGCAAAACTGGCCTATTTGGACTCAAACAGTGAAAGAACATCCCCCAAAACAGGTTTTATACTTAAGAACCATTGTAATCCATCAGTTATGGCACAATTCACAACCAAAGAGCCCCTTTGCTCTATCCATGTCCTTCTCACAAACAGCATCCTTTGCCCCCCACTCCTCTCCCCAGCCCTATTTTCCCCTTTGTTCCCCTTGCTGCCTGTTGTTGCCTCCTGTTCTCCCCCACACTCCCTTACTTTTGCTCTCCATTCCCAACCCCTAAAAGAGCCAGGAAACCACCTGTAAATGCTCCAGGGAGCAGCAGCAACAGTAAAGGCAGTGGTAGCTCAGTTCCTCTTCAGGCTTCCTTGCTCCTCCTCTCAGCCTGTGGACTTGCCTCAGGCAGTGACAGCGGTTGTGGAGGGCAGCTCCACAGAGTGCTCCCAGCTCTGCTGTTCCTCTTGCCTCCGGCTACGGGTTGGTAGCAGATAGTGGCTCGCAGCGGCTCCTCTCACACGCCCAAGGAGAAGAGGTGCTGCCAGCATGTGCCTGAGTCCTCTTCGTCGTGATTTCACCACACATGCATATCCAAGGACGTGTGCTGCTTGGTGGTGGCTCCTCTTGTTCTCTCACTGGCTTCTGCTGACTGTTGTACCAGCCCCAGAACACCACTAGCCTGGGTGTAGCAGCACAACCATGAGCCTTAAATGCCCCATGGCAAAAACCACAATGAAATATGGTACAGTTGGGAGGTCAGTCTCCCTCCTTAACTAGACAGGATAGCCAGCCACTTTGCTCACACTCACCTTTCATGCATCCCCCAGTCTCCTGTCCACCACCTGCACCTACTAATTCCTTCTCTTTCCCCCTCAGTCTCCTACCCATCATATTCTCCTTCTCTGCCATGCCACTTTCTCCTGCCCCCCCTTCAGGCTCCTCCTGCCCCCACATACCTTTGCACCTCTTAGTCTGAACCCCATGCTCTGCTGGGTCCCCCTCAATCTGCCTCCTGCCTCCCCACTGCCTTGAACCCACTTTCAATCTGCTGCCTGCTCTCTACACTCCTCTGCATCCCCTCAGACATATTCCTGCATCTCCTTAGCCTTACTCTTGCTCCATCAGACTCCTCAGTTTCCTGTAGTTTCCTAACACTCACCTATGGCCACCACCACAATCTCATTTCCAGCTCCTTCATGTTCTCTTGTCCCCTGCCTGGTCCCCACATGGTGACTAAGGAGTCACCATGACTTCCCTGAGGGAAACCTGGATTCAGTCCCCTGGGAAACAATCAGAGATGGTGGCCATCTTTAATGGGGACAGCATCGCTTTGATGTGTAAAGGCTGTAGGAAAACAGCAGCTACCATGCTGAGGACAGTCAATCCCACTGATAGCAATTGGAGTTGGTGGCCATTTTGGATTAGGACAAAATGTCACTGGTCTGAAGGCAGAAATCCACGGTTGTTAACTTGAGTGATGTTATCAGTATTTCTGTTAGTCTCAAAGGTGCTACAGGACCCTCTGTTGCTTGTTATCAGTATTGTCAACCCCAAAAGTTCAAAAAGTCAAGAGTTAGACTCCAAAATATCATTAGCTGGGCCTGTAGGAATATAGACCCATGTTAGGCCTGAGTGAATGATGGTTTTAAAATGAGTTTGGATATTAGCATGAGCAATAGGCCCAAAGTATGTGAGCAAAAAGAAATCATGAGAAAGGAGGGTTATTTGTGTTAAATGTATAGTTGGAATAG